AGAGGTTTTTTTGCTATAGGGCATGTGCGCTCGCCAGACAGACAGAGAGAGACACAGAGACAGAAAGTGAGAAATCACCCCCCGGGGGGGATGGTCACGCCGCAATCCCTTCTCCTCCATTCTCCTCTCAGGATCTTGGGCACGCACGCACACGCGCCCGGCATGAACTGGCGTGAGTTTAAGCCACTGGGTCTGGAACTCGAACCACAGTCGACTACGTGGGAGTCCAGCAACATAGCCATTATGCCAACTGCTGGTCCCCCCTTCGTCTTTCCTGGATGCCCCTCTCCCCTCTTCTCCTGAGCAGCTGGTAATCACTCTCCCACTCTGGCCCCAGGCCCCAGCCTTCTGCCCACTGTCCACAGGCTCCTGGGCCCTAGCTGTGGACTGTTGAGGCCTCCGCCTGCAGCATCAGTGTCCCAAGGGCTGTCATTTAGACCAGGCCAACCCAGGAGTTCTCATACCATAGCAGTGAACTGCTGTGCTCCAGTCTCTGTGTTTGCTGTCCTTGGTCCACACAAACTGCCCAGGAGAATTACCAGCGCAGCACAGATGAGGAAACGAGTCTTGGGGGCTGGGCGGGGAAGAGCTGCAGTGGCCACAGCCCTGTGATTAGTACGTGAAGGAGACGGGGCTGGAACCCAAGGCTGTGAGTCACACCACTCCTCCCTAAAACTTCTCTCTACCGTGACCCCCTATCGCTACAGAATTACAGACAATGCCGTGGCAGCTCCAGGACACACAGAAAACCAGCTCAGAAAGCCACTCAGACAGTGAGAATGGAGAGATTAGGGAGGGATTTGAAAATGTTAGTATACTCTGTCCCAGAATTCCATGACTAGAAACCCACCACAAGGAACTAAGAAGAAACATGGCAACACTATGTACAAAGATATCCACAGCAGTTATTTATCATCAGGAAAAACTTGGAAGTAACCTACCTTATTAAAGGACGGCATTGCTCCACTGAAAACATGGTACAGGCATTGAAAATATTTCCGAAGGGATGGCCGTGGCGCCTAGTGGTTAAGGAAGCTAGCTCTCACACGGCTGATGACGGTCGAGTCTTGGTCCACCAGCTTGAAAGACAGGCTGGGTGCATGTGCGTTCATGCCCCAAATTCTGACAGGATGGAGCAATGGATACGGGATTGCAGTGTGACCACTCCCCATGAGGGGTTGTTCTCTCCCTCTCTGTCTCTCTCTGGCCTAGTACACGTGTCCTCTGGCAGTGAAAACCCAAACAAAACAACAACAAAAAGAAAAATATTTACAAAGAGTTTTGTAATAACGTGGGGCAATGTTTATGACAATGCCAGGTGAAAGCAGCAGGTTATACAACTATACACACAGGTTGGGTTCCACCATAAAAACCTGCTCTGCAGTTGTAAAAGAGGAAGCACCAGCTGCTGCCTGCACTTCCTCAGTGTTCTCAGTGCTGGTGCGGACGACGCCCACAGCCGTTTTCATCTTGATGCTGGCCTTGCCCTGTCAGTGTTTGGGCGGGAACGAGAGGGCCTGCTGCCCTGATGGAGCAGCATCCACAAAAGAATCCAACCCAAGTGGGTCTCAATCCACATCTGCAGAACAGAGGAGCTGTTGAATGAGAGGAAGGACCAGCCCACTCCCTTCCTTGGCATCGGAGCCCGGGGACTGGGAGGCTTAGAACCTGCCACTCCTGCCCCAGATGAGCCATGGGTCCTCCTTCCCCTCAGCCTAACAGTAGCCTTGTCCCCTGAGAAACGGCAGGGCACTTCCCTGGAGCCTCAGGTGTCCCGAGCGAGGACCACCATCACCCTGTGCCCATGGGCAGGGTGCTAGGTGCCTGAGTGGCCATGCCTGAGTGGCTCTGTAGTACTTTCTACCCCCCGCCGCCCAGTCCTCACGGCTCTGCATTACCATGGAAATTCTCCAGAGCACGTGCAGGGCCGAGCCTCAGAGGGCGGGTGTAGTTTGCTCAGGCTAGTCTGGGGCAGCTGGGATTCTAACCCCTCTGTCTCCAAAGCCCGTGCTTGACTGAGAGGCAAGACTGTAGACGTGAACGTGGCTGGGCCCTTCCCTTGGGTGAGCCTCGGTTTCTCCTCCAGGTCACGAGGCTACCACCCTCTGAGGACTCGGTTCTCCGTTCCCGCACAGAGGGTCTGTGATGCGAAAACACCCACATTTTGTCCCACCTCGGAGTCACTGGCGGCACCCTGGAAAAATGAAGGCTGGGGAATGGAGGATGCAGGCTGTCCAGGTAAGGGATGGAAGCCTGACCCTTGGCAGGTGGCCATGGGCTGGAGAAGAGCTCTTGTCCCTCCTTAATCACAGGAGGACGCCCAGGGGCATCAGAGCACCCACCTGTCCCCCACATACACGTATGCACAAGGCTGCTGGCTACTTCTCCCTAGCCCTGGGCTGGCATCTGAGGGCACTGGAGGGGAGATTATTCCAGGCTTGTATCCTGGTTTCCCATCTCTGGACAGAGGGATATACTTCCCCTCCAAAGGCCCAGCCAGTTCCAGCCCTGGTGGAGTGGGTACCCTGGCTGGCCAGGCCTAGGCCACTGACCTCGCCAGGAGCCCACGTGCTCAAGGCAGAAGAAGAAACAGGATGCTTCAGAAAAAGTGGAAAAGGGAGGCTCCCATGATGCACTGTCTCTGCTCAGGAGAGACACCTCCCGCTGCCCCTTCCCAGGGCGTGTGCCGAATCCACCCCCCCCCCCCCGTCAGCAGCCTCCCGGCCTCCCTCTTCATCCTTCTTGCCACAGACAACAATGTCTTTGCTCCCTCACTGGCTGTGCGGCCCTTCTGTCCTCTATCAGCTCCCTGACGGCAGGACTTGCGCCTCACCTGTTCACCACTAGCCCAGGGCCTGACACGGTGGTGCTCACGCAATCTAATCGTTGTGGGACGGATGAGCAAAGGTTATCTTCTAGAGAATGCACTTCTCTAGTGGCTGGGGAAGGCACCCCCTGCCCTGTGAGGGACCTGGGAGGCAGGAAATGGAACCCCAGGGCCGGGCAGGCTGTGGGCAGGGCTCAGCCTCTCTTGGCCTGCGGCCTGCAAGGGTCTGGATGAGGAGGAACTGCTTGAACAAGGGGAGAGAGATGGTGCTGCTGGAGCGAGGCGGGAGATAGCCGGACACACCCCGAAGGGTGCACAGGTTTGAGGCCTGCGGGGCCATCTGCCTGCCTTCTGCCCCAAGCCTTTCTCCTCCCTCCCAGCCCCCACAGGGCCGCCACTGGAGCTGCCTCTGGTTCTGGCTCAGACCCGCCAATGCTGGAGGAGCAGCGCCTCCTGGAGGCCAAGGGGATGGGGTGTCTGAAATCGAACAGACCGTCTCCTAAATCCCCTAGGGCGTGCTGCCGGAGCCAACCTGGGTGTTTCTGAATTTTATTTTGTGCAAGAAACCTGAGCTTCCTGTGGCGGCTTCAGTCCGACAGTTAGTCAAGCTCCCCCCATCCCTGACCCTCCAATATGCACAGACCTGTCCCCGGTGCAGGGGCAGGTACAGAGATACCGCCTGATCCCAGGGTGTCCTTGCTCACGTCTTCTACCTGCCCCACCCTGCACCCGGTCTCCTCAGCCTTGGGACAAGGGGTGACTGCCCCTACCCTGAGCTATGGAGAACAGGCAAGCTCCATGTTCAGGACCCAAGCAAAGCCTTCAGAGATGCTGAGCCTCTTAACTGGCCTCTGGGATGCCTTCTCTAGAGCAGAAGGGTAGGGACTGGACTCCTGCTCTAACCTCCCTCCCCCAGACCCTGCTGTTCCCAGGGTTAAGCCTGGAGCTTTGAGGAGGTGGGGATTTGGGCATCTGCTTTGCTAGCGGGTTTCTAGACTCAGACCTCCTTACCAGTCGCAGGACTGGAGATTCTGTTCCTTTGTGTATGCTGGGGAGCTGGAGCGGTGTGAGGGGCCATCCACGGGACCGGAAATGTTAAACCATGGCCGCTGCACTTCACGCCCACCCAGCAACGGGAACACATCTGGAAATCAAAGCAATTAGTGAAGAGGCTAGCGGACGAGAGTCTGTAACGTAAGACCGTTTCTGCATTAGAAGTGCATACATAAATGCATGTTATTTTTAACTTTGCTTTATATCCGCTGGTGTTAATAAACGAATGTCTGACTCTCTGGCACTTGTATGTAAAAGAATGAAAATGCTTTGCTTATTTTTAAAACCTGGACACTGACTTCATAGACCAGTTGATTATATAACATTTCTCCTATGTAAAGTACTTTTGCATTTGCAACTTTTCGCATACTCACAGTCGGAGGGTATTTTGGTGGCATTTTCAATAATTCAGTACTCTTTCTGAATGTACTTGAAAATTCTATAAATGATTTAGGAATAGTATGCCTACTTAGGAATGTAAATATATGTGCTATTTATAATATATTTTATTCTTCAATTTTTTTTTTTTTTTTTTTTTTTTTTTTTTGCTATAGGGCGCGTGCGCTCGCTGGAAAGACAGAGAGAGACAGAGAGACAGAAAGCGAGAAATCACTCCCCAGGGGGGATGGCCACGCCACAATCCCTTCTCCTCCATTCTCCTCTCGGGATCTTGGGCATGCACACACACGCGCCCGATGTGAGTTTAAGCCGCCAGGTCCAGGACTCAAACCACAATCGACTACATGGGAGTCCAGCGACATAGCCATTTCACTAACTGCTGGTCCCAAAATTTTTTTCATCTTTACATTGCCTTAGCCTTGAGCTTGGAATAACATGATTGATATTATTATTATTATTTTTTTAGAGAGATTTTTGCTATAGGGTGTGTGTGCTCACTGGAGAGACAGAGAGACAGAAAGTGAGAAATCACCCCCCAACCCCTGAGGAATGGCCACACTGCAATCCCTTCTCCATTCTCCTCTCCAGGTTTTGGACACGCGTGCACACAGACCTGGCGTGAGTTTTAGGCCACTGGGTCTCGAGTTACAGTCCATTACTTGGAAGTCCAGCGACGTAACCATTACCCCACCTGCTGACCCGCTGTGATGGTTATTTTTTCATTGCCAGTAGGAACACTGGGCAGAGGGAGATCAAGAGACACAGGGAGGGAGGAAGCACCCAACAGGACCCACATTCCTTCTCCTCCATTTCTCCAGGATCCGGGGCACCCAGGCCCAGGGCGCTTCCCACGCTACGTGGACTGGGATCTGAAGCGTGGTGAGCCATGTGGGATCGACCTCTCTTAACCACTAGGCTACAGGCTGGCCCAGGACATGCCTATTTTGAGCAGAGAGGAAACTGGTGAAAGAGGATACTTTGGAAGAGTTCTGCGACATGCTGACGTTTCTCCTCCCCTCCAGGCTCATCTGCTGCGGTTATACCTTCATTGTTGCTACAGGTGTCCCAACTGTGGCCAGAGTGACTCCCGAGTCCTTTGGATACTACTCTAGGAATCTCGGAGAACGTCCTTGCCATCTGACATGACTGGTACCCCAGTATCCTCTGGCCCGTTTCCTACTGTTTCTTCAAGGAGCCCGAGTTCTTTTATCGGGAAATGGTCTTTGAAGACCACGGTCCGGGCACTCATTGCTCCCGTATTGGTCATCATTCCGAGGTCTTTTCAAAGGTCCTGTGTTTTTGTTTATTCTGAAGATAAAATAGAGCATGGATTCCTGTTGAGACTTTCGATTCATAGTCGAGGCTGGAGCGTTAGTACCAACTCTTCTTTCTCCTACCTACATTGTCAACAATCTCATTTCTCAGCCCAGCCACGGCAGCAGACGCTAAGAGACCGGGCTCTGCGGCCTGGGACCACATCGGAGGCTCGGGTTCAAGTCCAGATCCGGTGGTGAAGGTTTGTTGACTGAATAACTGTCTTTGCTTTTACGTAAACAAACAGCGCTCCAGGTCGCCTCTTGCCAACCAGAGAAGCAGCTGCTCTGTAATGCATCCTCGTTGGCGTTATTCTTTTTTGTTATCCTTCTGAAGGGAAAACATTTGAGATGTTTATGAGAGCGAAGAGAACTATCATCACTGTGGGGAAAAAAAAAAGACTTTATGATCCAGAAACTCAACTAGTCCAAGAATTTTATGGCAAAAATGCTGGTTCTGTTTGAAAAAAACAGACATAGAGACGGCCAGAGCTGGGCAGAGGAGGAGGGCCCTGGCTCACAGCCTCTGCAGCAGGTCCCAGGTCATGCAGCTCGCTTGCTCCTGGCCCCTGCGGCGTTGGGGGTCAGGGAGAGAGTCCCCTTTGCTGATATCTGAGACCCCACCAGGCAGGCTCAGACAGTCTCTGGGCTCCCTTCAAGCTGGCAGGTAGGGTGAAACCAGTTCTACCCGTACCCCGTTGGCTCAGGCTCGGGGCGCCTGCTCTTGCCCTGTCTACACCAGAGCTTGCACACCCTGCTCGGTGAGGCTCAGATCGCAGCTGCTGCCCTGGCTGCCACTGCAGTCCTCAGCCCTCAGCATGGAAAGCTCTCAGCAGGCACCCCTGCAGGAGACGGGGTGCTGGATGTGGCTGCTGCAGAGTCCACACTTCCTGGAACCACCCCTTCCAGTTAAAAGGGGCCCTTCAGGAGCCAACCACCCAGGACCAGCAGATGGCATAGTGGTTACATTGCAGGACTCCCATCTAGTTGACTGCGGTTCGAGTCCTAGATCCCGCGACTTAAAACTCATGCTAGAAGCGTGTGTGTATATGCCCCAAAATCCCAAGGAGAATGGGGAAGAGATTGGAACGTGGCCATCCCTCTGGTGGGTGATTTTTTGCTTTCTGTCTCTCTGTGTCTCCTCAGCAAGCAAACACTCTATAGCAAAAATCTCTCTTAAGAAAAAAAAAAGGTGGGAATCACCCGGAGTAGGTGAGCTTTGTCCAAGCGAGGACTGCTCTGGGCTGAGTGTCTGTGTCCCACCAAAATTCCCAAGTGGAAATCCTAACCCCCGACACCATGGTATTAGAAAGTGGGGCCTTGGGAGGTGGTTAGGCCAGAGGGAGCGCCCTTATATAGGGGCCCAGCCACCTGTCTTGTCCCTCCCATGGCCGTGGCATGAAGGCCCCATCTGTGAGCAGGAAACAGGCCCTCACCAGGCACTGAGGCCGCTAGTACCTTCAAGAACCGTGAGACCTGTTTCTATTGCAGGACTCCCATCTAGTTGACTGCGGTTCGAGTCCTAGATCCCGCGACTTAAAACTCATGCTAGAAGCGTGTGTGTATATGCCCCAAAATCCCAAGGAGAATGGGGAAGAGATTGGAACGTGGCCATCCCTCTGGTGGGTGATTTTTTGCTTTCTGTCTCTCTGTGTCTCCTCAGCAAGCAAACACTCTATAGCAAAAATCTCTCTTAAGAAAAAAAAAAGGTGGGAATCACCCGGAGTAGGTGAGCTTTGTCCAAGCGAGGACTGCTCTGGGCTGAGTGTCTGTGTCCCACCAAAATTCCCAAGTGGAAATCCTAACCCCCGACACCATGGTATTAGAAAGTGGGGCCTTGGGAGGTGGTTAGGCCAGAGGGAGCGCCCTTATATAGGGGCCCAGCCACCTGTCTTGTCCCTCCCATGGCCGTGGCATGAAGGCCCCATCTGTGAGCAGGAAACAGGCCCTCACCAGGCACTGAGGCCGCTAGTACCTTCAAGAACCGTGAGACCTGTTTCTAAAGCCACCCGTCTCTTCGGTTTTGGTACAACAGCTCCAAACACAACAGCTCCAACAGACTGTGACAGGGACCACTGTGGAGATTCTTCACAAGTTTCAGGATTGTTCTGGGAGGAGGAACTCTCACCTTTCATGAGGGGTAGGCACTGCCACCCCTAACATCGCCAGCAGGAAGGCTCCTGGGGAGGAGGAGGAGTGGGTGTTCAAAGTAACCTGGAATCAGAGACACTCCTCATGGAAGATATTCCAAAGAGGTGTCCTGGGGTGAGAGGTCACACGGGTGAGCTCCAGGGCCCCTATGCCAGGGACCACCGAGGAGGCCCCTCTTTGATCTGTTTTCTAAATGAAGAACCATGGTCTATCTCACTGGAAGAAAGACTTCTGCGCAGAACAATCATTTCAGGTCTGCAAAATATTGAACCCAGTGCGCTGTCCTGCCGCACAGGATGGTGTCGATGGCGGTATCTATGTCACATGGCTCTCTGGGCTGCCATCTCCCAGTGCCAGGAGGCTCTCCAGCCCCCTTAAGATGCCATTCCCTCCAGGACAGCTCTGATTACTAAACATGGCCCCCAAGCACCTCTCCGTGGTTCTCTGCGTTGGTCTACCCCAGTCCGCTTGGCTGTGACAGGGCTATGCCCCCCTCCCCCGCAAGGCTCAGCTCACATCCTTCCCCTCTGCCCGCCTCACCACCTCAGCCTGCTCCTTTGATATTTAACAGACCATTACCTGCCCTAAGGGGACCCTCTTGTCAGAAGTAAAAATGGTTTATGGCTATCACCTCCATTGGCTGTGCTGATTGTTTTTCTCTGCAAATGTTTCCCCCCAGCTGTGAGTCCTCAGCTGCTGTTGTAAAGGTGTGAAGATCCAAGGAGGACCCTTCCCTGAGATTTCCCACCCTCCGCCCTGCCCTGCATCCTTGTCCTCCAGTCCTGTCACAGCCATGCTGCCAGGCCCCAGCACTTCCGATGTGCAGACGGCAAAGCAGAGCAGAGATGAAACCGAGGACAGCACCCTGGTGAACCACGCCGTCAGGAACTGACGTTTCTACGGACAGCACAGCTTCTAGGCTCCCCTTACAATCTCTGAACCGGGGTCTGGGTGGGGCCTGAGAATGTGCATTCTGGCCGGGTTCCCAGGTGACACTCAGCTCCTGGTCTCGGGACCATCCTCGGAGAACCACTGGGTTAGAGGGCCACGGGGAAGCACCCCCAAGGAAGCAAGGTTCCTAAGTGCATGGAAGGGTTCCTAAGTGCATGGAGCTGGAGAGGGCCGACCTGCACACCCCCTGGCAGGCTGAGCGCCCCAGGAGTTCTCCCTCCTGCCTCACCACAGTGTCTCCCCCAAACGTGGGCTGGGCCTGGACCGGGTTGGACACACCTAGCCATGTCTTGCTGACTTTCATCTCAGAGAGAACCCAGCTTTGGCCACAGAGAAAGCCTTGAGGGGAAAACAGAGCAACCTACTCTATGGAGGGAGGTCTCCACGTGGGCAGTAAGACACCAGTGCAGGCTTAGGGCCTCGATGGACATTTCAAACACCTGGGTGGGGCCGGCAGGTGGCTTGGAGATTAAGGCACTGGATTCCCACATGGCCAGCCATGGTGCGGTTCAAGTCCCAGACCCGGCAGCTTGTTTTCTCACTTTCTCTCTGGTCGAGTTAATAATAATAATAATAATAAATTAAATTAAATAATTATTACAGGACTTTAAAAAAGGCAAATTTCAAAATTCTGAAAAATGTTGTTAGGTTTTGTTAGGTTCCCAGAAAATACGGCTTCTAAGGAATGAGAACTGCTTTAAAATAACAGTAACAAGGGCCGACTTGGCAATCCTGGCCCAGGCTAGCAAGGAAGATGACCCAGAGCTTGTCCAGGCAGGACCTCACCAGGACAGAGAGGTGTTAGAATTGGAGGGTTTTGTTGGTTTTAAAATAGTTAGCACCCGGAGCATCAAAGGCTCAGGACAAACTGTGACATTTCCTGGCCCCAGAGGAAGGCAGTTAGCGAGGGAAGGCAATTACTGGTCTGGGGCGGAGCTGTGGCGCGTAGGCCAATATAGTGGAAAAGGAGCCTTCATCTCTGGCGTCTCCCGGCTGCCAAACTCATCTCCTCTTGTAGCCTATCAAAGCTTTGCCCTTTGTTGCTCAGAAAGCCACTGTATTGAGATCTTAAAATGCCAAAGTTTTCAAACCATTGGTTTCTCCTATTGGAACTTAGATAGGCTTTTAATCAGATCGTGTTTCCTTTTTTAGCCTTTAAGAGAAACTGCTACACTACCTTGGGAGGCTGGACGGCGACTGATGACAGCGGGTTCCAGAGCTTCCCTCCGCCTGGTATTTTGGCCTACTTCCTTCATCTCTCTATTATTACCTAGCAAGGAAAGAATTTCCTTTTTTTCCCCTAGTCTAAACATTCTCCCATGAGAAAAACAGTCTGCTTCTCTATTCAACAATATGCCAAAAGAGCCTGTTAACAAAGACTGCAGTCCACTTGGAAATGAGTGGTAGGTAAGGATCAGTGGTGCTCATTTTAATCCCGTTTCTGCTACCTGCTAGAGCGTGCCATCCATGGCCTCCCTGAGCTTGCTCTCAAGGCGTTGACGTGGGTTTTGCTTTCCACAGTACATGGCAGGAGAGTCTTACTGATGATTCTGCCCCCAAACAGAATGTCTCCACCTCTGCTCCCACGCCAGTTGCCCTACCCGAAGCCTGTCATCTGCTTCCAGATGAGCGCACACCCTTCTCACGCATCTTCCTACCCCCGTCCCTCCCTGCTGACCTTGTCCATAATAATCCATCTTCCACTCATATCCGGAAGCACGGGCCCATGACCACTCCTAGACTCGAGCCCGCAGGATCAAGTCCAGTCTTCTCCTGAGGAGAAGAGCCTAGAGCCTCTCTTCCCGAGACCTGCCTTCCCACCTTACCAGCCCACGCTGACCTGCTGTCCTCCAAGTCCCCTCCTGCCAGTCACGTAGTGCATTCACTCAGCTGGGTAACACACTTCCGGCCCCAGGCTCGGTTTTAATAGTGACAGTAGCAACAACATGCACCAACGACTCTGTATCAGGCGTGGTCCTTTAGCCAAGAGGTCATTCATTTATTTATTTATAGGTGGGGAGAGATTTTGGCTATAGGGCACATGTGCTGGCTGGAGAGACACAGAGAGACAGAGACAGAAAGCGAGAAATCACCCCTCCCCTCCAGTGGGAACAGCCACTGAAATTCCCTTCTCCTCCATTCTCCTCTTAGGATCTTGGTCACACATGCATACACGCCTGGCATGAGTTTAAGCCACCGGCTCCAGGACTTGAGCCACACTTGACTATGTGGGAGTCCAGTGATGTAACCACTATGCCATCTGCTGGTCTCGGCAAGAGGTCCTTTAATCCACACAGTGACACCCCCCGCCCCCCCGCTCTGTTAGGTAAATGCAGCAACTCCTTAGGCCAACCTGGTAACCTAATGGCTGATCACATGGCTGACCATGGTTCAAATCCCAGCTTGAAAAATGCACCAGGTACGTGTTGGGGCAAGGGCATGCACCCACCCGAGAGACAGGTGAGAAGTCACCCCTGGAGTTGGGCACGCCGCAGTCCCTTCTTCATTCTCCTCCTGGGATTTTGGCACACACGCACTCAGTGTGTTTCAGGCCTTTGGGTCCAGGGCTCAAACCTGTGGCTAACTACGTGGGCGTCCAGCACCTTAACCACTACACCATCTGGTGGGGCCCGCCCCAGATCTTTAAATGGAGAAGAAGGGATTGCGGTGTGACCACATCCCACTGGGGAGTGTGCTCTCTCTCCGTATCTGTGCGAGAATCCCTCTGACCAAAGAGACACAGTAACTCATCAGCCCCATTTAACCATAATGCATTACAGCAGAGGCTCAGAGAGGCCTCACCCAGGGTCGGGCTTCAGCTTGTGGGAGAGGCGGACGGGGTGATGAGGGACTGTGGCAGAGGTGTGAACTTGTGACAGGCCGGAGGCTTCTACTACTGCTTGCTCGCCTACCAGAGTGTTTTCTGCACCGATTATGCTGCCCTCACTGTTCTAGGGGCTTAAAAAACGGGAAAAGAAAACCAAGAACCCCACCCTCCCAGATCTTATTTTAGTGGAAGAAAATGGACAAAAGAGCACAGACATTACAAGTAAATGACATAGTATGTTTGGAAGTGATAAATACTATGGGAAAAATAAGAGCTGGGCTTAGGGAATGTGGGGGGGGGTGGTCACTGTGCGACTGGCCGGCTGCCATGTTAAATAGGGGGGCCGAGCTGAACTCTATTCAACAATATGCCAAAAGAGCCTGTTAACAAAGACTGCAGTCCACTTGGAAATGAGTGGTAGGTAAGGATCAGTGGTGCTCATTTTAATCCCGTTTCTGCTACCTGCTAGAGCGTGCCATCCATGGCCTCCCTGAGCTTGCTCTCAAGGCGTTGACGTGGGTTTTGCTTTCCACAGTACATGGCAGGAGAGTCTTACTGATGATTCTGCCCCCAAACAGAATGTCTCCACCTCTGCTCCCACGCCAGTTGCCCTACCCGAAGCCTGTCATCTGCTTCCAGATGAGCGCACACCCTTCTCACGCATCTTCCTACCCCCGTCCCTCCCTGCTGACCTTGTCCATAATAATCCATCTTCCACTCATATCCGGAAGCACGGGCCCATGACCACTCCTAGACTCGAGCCCGCAGGATCAAGTCCAGTCTTCTCCTGAGGAGAAGAGCCTAGAGCCTCTCTTCCCGAGACCTGCCTTCCCACCTTACCAGCCCACGCTGACCTGCTGTCCTCCAAGTCCCCTCCTGCCAGTCACGTAGTGCATTCACTCAGCTGGGTAACACACTTCCGGCCCCAGGCTCGGTTTTAATAGTGACAGTAGCAACAACATGCACCAACGACTCTGTATCAGGCGTGGTCCTTTAGCCAAGAGGTCATTCATTTATTTATTTATAGGTGGGGAGAGATTTTGGCTATAGGGCACATGTGCTGGCTGGAGAGACACAGAGAGACAGAGACAGAAAGCGAGAAATCACCCCTCCCCTCCAGTGGGAACAGCCACTGAAATTCCCTTCTCCTCCATTCTCCTCTTAGGATCTTGGTCACACATGCATACACGCCTGGCATGAGTTTAAGCCACCGGCTCCAGGACTTGAGCCACACTTGACTATGTGGGAGTCCAGTGATGTAACCACTATGCCATCTGCTGGTCTCGGCAAGAGGTCCTTTAATCCACACAGTGACACCCCCCGCCCCCCCGCTCTGTTAGGTAAATGCAGCAACTCCTTAGGCCAACCTGGTAACCTAATGGCTGATCACATGGCTGACCATGGTTCAAATCCCAGCTTGAAAAATGCACCAGGTACGTGTTGGGGCAAGGGCATGCACCCACCCGAGAGACAGGTGAGAAGTCACCCCTGGAGTTGGGCACGCCGCAGTCCCTTCTTCATTCTCCTCCTGGGATTTTGGCACACACGCACTCAGTGTGTTTCAGGCCTTTGGGTCCAGGGCTCAAACCTGTGGCTAACTACGTGGGCGTCCAGCACCTTAACCACTACACCATCTGGTGGGGCCCGCCCCAGATCTTTAAATGGAGAAGAAGGGATTGCGGTGTGACCACATCCCACTGGGGAGTGTGCTCTCTCTCCGTATCTGTGCGAGAATCCCTCTGACCAAAGAGACACAGTAACTCATCAGCCCCATTTAACCATAATGCATTACAGCAGAGGCTCAGAGAGGCCTCACCCAGGGTCGGGCTTCAGCTTGTGGGAGAGGCGGACGGGGTGATGAGGGACTGTGGCAGAGGTGTGAACTTGTGACAGGCCGGAGGCTTCTACTACTGCTTGCTCGCCTACCAGAGTGTTTTCTGCACCGATTATGCTGCCCTCACTGTTCTAGGGGCTTAAAAAACGGGAAAAGAAAACCAAGAACCCCACCCTCCCAGATCTTATTTTAGTGGAAGAAAATGGACAAAAGAGCACAGACATTACAAGTAAATGACATAGTATGTTTGGAAGTGATAAATACTATGGGAAAAATAAGAGCTGGGCTTAGGGAATGTGGGGGGGGGTGGTCACTGTGCGACTGGCCGGCTGCCATGTTAAATAGGGCGGCCGATCTGAACGTCGTGAGGGAGTTACTCCTTGGCTATCTGGGAGCAAAGCACCCTGCGGGGAGAGAAGGGCTAGGGACGAAGCCTGAGGCGGGAACGTGTGTCCTGTGTGAACAGAAATAGGGGGAGACCGTCTGGGAGCACCTGGCTCCTACTCAGTGACCTGGCAGGGCTCGGGCATTCTAGTCTCTGCAGAGAAGAGAAGCCAGGGGATAATGGGGAAGAGGCAAGCACAGTAAGATGGTCAAGAGGTGACCCAGGCAGGGGTGAGGACGGGAGGTGGCAAAAAATGGCTAGATTGGAGCCAAGTGAGAGAGAGAGAGAGAGAGAGAGAGAGAGAGGGGTTTTTGGTTGGGAGGGTGAGGAAGTCTTCACTGAGACTAACTTGGAGTCTAAGGGACTCTAGCGCCTCCTTCCCAGGTAGGCTGCTTTTCATTTTTTCTTTGAGTTTCGCTGTAGGACACATGCACTCGCCAGAGAGAGAAATCGCCGCCCAGGAGGGATGGCTGCACTGCAGGCACCTCTCAGTTCTCTCGGGGTTTCGGGCACGCACAAGTCCGTGGTGTGTCCTTCAAGCCACCCGGCCCATGGCTCCACTGTGCAGCTGGACGTGCAGGACCCGGACGCCTTAGCCACCAGGTCACCGGCTGCCCACAGGTACTCTTACACGGTTTTGTCCCTCCGATTTAACTGTTGGTTGGTTCTTCTTTTCTTTTCTTCTTTTCCCCATAGGGTGCATATCACGCTGGAGAGACACGGAGAGATGGGAAAGTGAGAAATCACGCCCCGGGGGGATGACCACACTGCAATCCGTTCTCCTCCATTCTCCTCTCAGGATTTTGGGCACATACGCATTGGCGTGATTTTCAAACCACCAAGTCCGGGACTTGAACCACAATCAGCCATGTGGGAGTCCAGCCTCTTCACCACCACACCACCTGCTGCTTCTTGACCCTTGGTCTTTAAAGGGCAAAGCACTAGTCTTAGCCATTTTGGTACCTGAGGCAGGGCAGCCATTTCCACAACTCCTGGGTGCTCCATTCACACCCTACCCGCAGGGTGACGGGTGACGCGGCCCAGCTGGCTGTCACAGTGGTTCACCCCAGAAGAGCTCAGGAAGCAGGGAGGGAGGGAGAGAGAGAAGAAAGAACAGAAGGGAAGGAGGGCAGGCGGAGGAAGGAGGAAGGGATTAGCACAGATTCAGCTGGAATCATATACCCCAAGTGCAAATAGCTCACTTCAGTTCATCGTGTACTAGCTTTACACTTTCAAAAGAACACCTACGCTCTAAAATTCCCCCCTCCCAGCCCGTCTTTGAAAGTTAGATTGTTAAATCCATCATCTCCACTTTCAAATTCCACTCATAAAAAGGCAGTTTCTTCTGTCTGTTTAAGTCGCATTCCACACCGAACTGGTTATGTAACTGAGGAATGAAAGCAATGGCATTCCTTCTTTCTAGTTTTCCCCGGGGAGGGAAGGTGTGGGGAGCCTGTCCAGGAGACTAACCGTGGTAGAGGGGGAGAACCGATGACGTCACAACTATTAGCAGTTTAACGAACCTTTCCTTAATTCACGGGGAACGATAAAATACTTTTCAATAGATCAAAGAGAAAACGGACTCCAGTTCCAACTGTTCGCTAGCCCGGGAGGCACAGTGTGGGGCTGGAAGGGAGCACAAAGGCCTGCTGCTCTGATCTCCCTGGCCCTCTGCTGGGGAAGCAAAGCCAGGGCTCAGGAGTGTCGCCATGAAACGAGGCAGTTATCACACTGGTTCAGAGCGCTCACCTAAACCACTGCCCGGGGTGGAAGGCCGAGGCATACTCAGGACTTCGAGGCCAGCCCCCTGCTTTTCCTGACCTGTTCTACGGCTTCTTGTGAGAGCAACATTATGGGCTTCCAGAACCTGGCTCTAGCAGCTCAGAGGGGTTAGAAGTAGTGCGGTGTCAACACAACTGGACCCACAATGGGACGGCCCTGGGTTCATATCCCTAACCTCTTGTCATGAGAATCAGGCAGCATACTCCCCTTTGTCATCCCCCCACCAGCTAAAATGGACAAAGCCATTTACAGGCACTGCCCCAAATGTCCCCTGGGGTGGAGGAGAAAAGTAGCCCATACTTAAGAGCCATTGCTCTTGTTGGTTTAAAATTTATTTCTTCAGATGGAGGGAGAAAGGCCTGGTGCTGCAGTCTGCCCCGACCTCCCTCCGTAGGCCCAGACCACGGGCAGTGCGTGCCCGCACGTCTCCTCAAACACTCTCAGTACGTGTTGAGCCCCCGAGTGCTCTGTGTGTGCTCCGTAAGAGACAAGTGCTAGCCTGGAAATAGGTGAACACGATGCCATAGTTGACCTCTTCACTCAGAATTAAAGTAGGAAAAAAGAGAGATTACATGTGGGTTAGATTTAGAAAAAAATCCCTCCCCTTCTCACTTTCCCTCCCTCAAATCCCACCAAAGATAAATAAACTCATCTGCTCAATGAGGTTAAAACTAGGAGAGAGAGAGAAAGTGAGAAATCTGCCCCCCAAGCTAGGGGTAATGGCCATGCCACAGTCCCTTCTCTTCTCCTCTAGGGACCTTGGGCACACACGCACGCGTACGGCATGAACCTCAAGCTGATGAGTCCAGGACTTGAACCATGGTCAGCCATGAGAGTCCAGAGACGCAACCACTCTGGCATCTGGTGATCCCTCAGGTATGATTTAATTTCAGTATAATGGATATTGAACTCTATTGGTTCTGATTAACCAACTCTGCTGTGTTTAATTATTAAGATTATTTCCAGCCCCAAATAGCAAAACCGCATTTTCTATAAGGGCAATTGAAATGTGTCTATTCGGTTATAATGTGTATATTTAATTATGACAGGACTCTTACTAAAAAAAAAAAGTAAAATAAAACTATGCAGAAAGAATAATTTAGCAGTTTTGAGAACATTCACTACCCAAATAAAGGAATGGATGAGGCAAGATAATGCCCAATATAACCAAACCTGGAATAAATCTGGGGTCTATCCAGAAAATTAAAGAAAAACAAACAAACATATAAAAAGATAGGACATTTTCTTTTTAATCAGTCAAAAATGAAAAGGGTTCTGGACAATGTCAAATTCCACTCACCATAATGCTATAGTTATACATTAAATATAATTACTATCTATACATATGCAAAAATATAAAGTTCTATTTCATACAATAAAAACCTTTAGAGAAACCATTTTAAAATGAAGCACAACTTCTCAACATCAAAGTGTGAGGTCTAAGTTCTTCTAAAGGTTCCTTTAAAGGTTTTAAAACAAAAGGCTAACCCTAAAACACTGTCCCTCTGTCAGTTCCCAAATTAAATCTACTTAGAACAAAAATTGGTAGCTCAGTCACGTACTACTTAAATAAGTGTTGAGGCGTCTCTAACACCCTGCATTTCTTCAAGTACGGAAACAACGCAGACATTCCACAATACAGTACTAGACAGATGGCGCATCCCGGAAGTCTCTGCTGTCGTATGGTACAATATTAATCAATGTTTTATTTCTCCAACACGTCGGGAAATCAACACCAGGCTTTTGTTTTGTTTTTCTCCTCAAGGGCCAAAATTATTCTAATCTACATTAAGGTCATTTGACTGTGGTCATATGTTAAGAGTGTAAAACACAACCTCGATATTTTATCACAAAAGTAAAGCTGGTGACGGATTAGAAAAGGCCCCGGCACTGGGCTCGGGCGACGCGGGGACTACAGCTCATCGTGATAGAAGTAGTCGTCGTGGAGTTGTCTGCCGTAATCCGTGGCCTCGCTGGTGAGGAACAAGTCCTGGTTTTCCAGAATCTCTTCTTCAGAGAGCTTTCTGTCTCCATTCAAATCCATTTCATCAATCAGATGTACAGCCTTGAGAGCAAAACAAAAAGGTGTCAAGGGTGAAAAGTCTTGTCAGCGAGATGTTCACGTTCGAATGCGATTTGACTTGTCAAAACCGCTCAGGTGGGCCACGTACTCTTGACTATCTTAGTATCTAAAAACGTGCCAGTACTCAGGCCTGTCTGCTGCTTTTCTCATTATTTCGTCTTCACTTCTGCTGGATTTGCCGCCTCCCTACTCACATCCAACCTAGGATCTCTCAGGGTAAAGCAAAATTGTAACCCTCTTTCAGTCCTTATAGATAAATGCAGACTGTTATTCGGTTCACTGTACTCTCAATTTAATATACAATATCATCTTTTTCTTTAGCTTTTGTTACAGGGCTCATACGCTTCCTGGAGAGACAGAAAGACAGGCAGGGAAAATGAGAAATCATTCCCCCGGGGGATGGCCATGCCACAACACCTTCTGCTCCACTCTCCTCTCAAGATTTTGGGCACATTAGCACATGCGCCTGGTGTGATTTTCAAGCCACCGGATCTGGGAGTCAAACTGCGCAGTGAGCCATGTGAGATCCAACAGCCTGAACCACCACACACCTGCTGGTCTCACGATACGGTCTTAACTCTCTTGCCTCTCTGCCAGTATAAGACAGCTCATGAGCATAAAGCATAGCAATGCAGCAGTCCACAATAAACCCATGACTTCTTTCTTTGGCTTAAAATTTTAAACTTCTGTTCTTGTAAGTAGCACTGAATTTAGGGGACAAAACCCCCAAAACAAACAACAATAGCCATTCTTTAACTCTTACCTCTTCTTGTGCAATGCCCTGATTATTGGGAACCACCCAAGACAAGAGCTCCTGGGGGTCGAGCCTGCCATCTTTATCTTTGTCGTAATCGTTCACGAATCTGTCTTTCTCCACCAGTATCCATTCTGGATCTTCACTTGCAGCTTAACATGGAAAAAACACACACACAAATACACACATACGAGAATATCACTTGGACCCAATAAACAATCTGGTATATCCCTACAATTAAAGAAGTGTATCTGAAGTTTACTAAATAAAAGAAGCCCAATGAAATAGAATTAACTCACTGAAAAGTCCTGAAATGAATACAGACAGAGAGTAATTTTCAAATATGTAAGTGACACATTAAGTCGAAACAACTCATTACAGTTTTTATCACAAACTAATATTTTGTTAGCTGCCCTACTTCTCCCGAGGGTGACCTGGGAAGTTAAATCCCTTCTCCTCCATTCCCCTTGCAGTACATGTACGCAAGTGTACCTGCGTGACTTTCGAATCGCCAGGTCCACAGCTCAGACGACAGCTGGCCATGTGGGAGTCCAGCACCCTAACCACCACAGCACCTGCCGGCCCCTGGGTAATGTCTTTATGTACATCGTGTAACACGTGAACTTTCCAGGACCAGCAGAGAGCAGAATAGTTATGTTGCTGGACTCCCACGTAGTTGATCATGGTTTGAGTCCTGGACCGGGCAGCTTAAAACTCACGCCAGGCATGTGCATGTGTGTGCCCAAAATCCCAAGAGGAAAATGGAGAAGGGATTGTGGTGTGCTCATCCCCACTGAGGGGTGATTTCTCTCTCTCGGTCTCTCCAGCAAGCACACATGCCCTATAGCAAAAAAAGAAAAAAAAAGAAACCAACATTTTTATGTGTTCTCAAGATGCCAAATATAATTTTAAAATGACATTCAATAAATAAAACTTGTGACCAATTTTAAAATGGCATTATTTATGCTTTTCAGCAACAATTCTAAAAAAAGATAGCTGCTTAGGGAAGGTCAAACTTCTAATTTCAGACACTTAGTAACTTCTAAAGTTCACACCGGTATTTATGGTATTTTATGTATTTTTTTCTCTTTCAAGATTTACATACAAAGGTACAAGATTTTGTTTAAAAATATCAGTGTGTACTTCCTTCCCCATTTGAATAGATGATTATATTTGTTTGTAAAGGAAGAAAAACGCCTGAGTTTAGAGGTGGAAGTGAAAGCGACAAGACAGCGTGCCCAGGTAAGCTCTAAACCCACGTGCTGGCCCTGAACTGCAGCCAGCTCGGCAGAACGAGCAGAAGTCAGACACGGGTCCTCTCGTTGCACTTCCCTCAGTCAGGAGGAGCCACCTTTCAGTTTCTTGCTTCTTTAACTTCAGTTTCTGCCCCCTTCCCAAGAACTTACTTGGATCCCGTCTGTAATCACCAAGGAATTCCTCCAGACTGACAAAGCCGTCGCCGTTTTTGTCATGTTCTTCTAAAGCCTCTTGAATGACAAACTCCTATTGCGTGTTTGTTAAAAAAAAATAATAATTAAGACACAAACTTTCCAATCCCACCATCATCTGTCCCAGTCCTACTACGAACTTCAGAAATCCCACTGGGTTTGTCTACACTAACCCTAACCCACACCCATTAAGAACCCAAAGAATCCCGTGCCTCAGCTGTCTGCACAACTGTTGGACCTCCAGGTCTGAAACGTGCCCGTCCCCACCCTCAGCCTCTGCTTTCCCGGTCTATGAAACCCATCCCCCCCACATTCCGCCCAAACTGCCCTCAGATCTGTACCTCACTTTACCAGAGCTTCTCACCAAACCTCCAATCCCCCTCTCTGACCCAGAGAACAGACTCTTTCTAGTCTGAAGGTCTGGGCAAAGGCCAGCTGCTTTGGGGCTTCCTCATTAGCCGTTCAGGCTCCTGACCCCCCCCCCCCCCTTTTTTTGGTTTTTTCTCTCGGGGCTTTTTTTAGGTTTTTGCTGCAGGGTGCATGCACTCGCCAGAGATAGACAGAGGGGAAGTGGGAGATCACCCCCATCCCCAGGGATGGCCACCTGCAGTCCCTTCTCTTCCATTCCCCTCTCCCTATTTTTTTTTAAACTTTTTTTTTTAGAGGTTTTTGCTATAGGGCGTGTGCGCTCGCCAGACAGACAGAAAGAGAGACAGAGAGACACAAAGCGAGAAATCACCCCCAGGGGGGATGGTCACACCGCAATCCCTTCTCCTCCATTCTCCTCTCGAGATCTTGGGCACGCATGCACATGCGCCCGGCGTGAGTTTTAAGCCACCGGGTCTGGGACGCGAACCACGGTCGACTACGTGGGAATCCAACGACATAGCCATTACACTAACTGCTGGTCCCCTCCCTCTCCCTATTTTGGGCACCCAGTGTGAATCTCTAGCCACCAGGTTTGGGACTCAAACAGCGAGGCTGGCCATGTGGGATCCTGCGCCTTAACCTATATGTCACCTGCTGGACCTAAATTCTGGCTTTTAATCCAAAGTCAACTCAGTCAGTCGATCTTAGAGCCTTGCCTTTGCCTATAGCAGATACACCCTTAAAGGGCACAGGGGAGGGGTGATTAAGGTCCTGGACTCCCATATGGCAGTCCCAGACTTGGTGGCTTGCTTTCTCACCTTCCCTCTTTTTCTGGTGGTATATGCTATAGCAAATTAAATTAATGAATTATTTTTAAAAAGGCGTAAGGCACACAGGCGAACCAGGCGAGGTAGGCAGGAACTGCTGACGATGCTCTGAATGAGACGCCGCTCTGTGGTCGCACACCCGTGTGGGCCATCAGTCCCCACGCGGACAGGACCACACTGCACTCTGGCCGAGGTACTGTCCTTATCACTGCCTCACAGCTCAGCCTCGGGCCACCTCCGGTTCTTGCCTTCCCTTAGCACCAGTGACTAAGCCACCACTCTTCCTCACGCCATCTTCGCGATGTTGCTCTTTCTTGCCAGGCCACGCTGCAGGGCTGTGCCACTCCAAGCCTCGTCATTCCCCTTCGGTCTTCATCGTCCTCCATCCCCACAGAATGGAGACCCTGTGCCCTCTGCCTGCCGCTCGAGGACTCAGGTAGATGGCCTGACTTGATCCTGGCTCTTCCATAGTGCCCAGCACTGTTCTGAAGCTAGGCCGTGTGTGTGTGTGTATCACTGAGAGACCAGAAGGTTCATGGTGGCGAGCGGAGTGGTCCTAAGGGCGAGGTCTCGCCGGCGAGCTATGGGGAAAAATGCACCTGCAGTCTCGTCATTTGAGGCAGCATGTTCTCACCGTGACCCATTAAACGAGAGGCTCCACTTTCCTCCCCCAGTATCCTGGGACCCGAGCCACACAGCTGGAGGCCGGTGCCACGCAGACCTCAGTACCCGTGTTTAGCGTCTTGTAAGGTGAAGTGATTGGTCACGTGCATCTTTACTCCCCAGCGTGATGGCTTCTGCTCTCCAGACGCCAAGTCGCCGCAGAAACTCAACTGCTATTTGCTGAGTTAAATTTAGAATTCAAAAAAGTCCTGAAAAACTGCTTTCCTTTTAGGTACTAAAGAAAGGGATGAGAGGGGCCAGCAGGTGGCGTGGAGATTAAGGAGCCGGACTCCCATATGGTTGACCATGGCTCGAGTCCCAGACCCAGTGGCTTAAAAATCACAACCGATGTGTGTGCGTGCGTATCCGGAATCCTGAGAGGAGGGTAGGGGAGAAGGGATTGCAGCGTGGTCACCCCCTGGGAGTGATTTATCATGTTCCCTCTGTCTGTCTCTCTCTGGTGAGCCCACGCACCCTATAGCAAAAAAAACCAAAAAAAACCAAAAGAAAACAAACAAAAAAAAGGGATGAGAGGATGCATTATGCGTAAAGTCGCAAAAACATTAATGGTCACTAGGGCCTGCATCCCCACACCCTACGAAAAAGGAGCCAGATGCAGTAAGTCGCTCCAGAGCAAAAGCGTCCACAAGTGATGCCGTAAACTGGACAGAAGTTCAGTGTTACTCATATCGAAAAGCCAGACAAGGGGCCAGCAGGTGGCATGGTGGTTAAGGGTGCTGGACTCCCACATGCCCGACTTCAGTTCGAGTCCCGGACCTGGCAGCTTGCTTCTTTCTCTCTCTCTCTGTCCCTCTCTGGTCAACTTAAAATAAATGAATACAGTTAAATAAAATAAATCTGAAAAAAAAATGTCAAAGTCCAGATGTTACAAAAGGATGAGGCATTGAAGGTAATGGGGTTATCCGTGAGAAAACAGCTGGAGGACAGCTGCTGCTTACACAGCACAGGGGTTAGAGCCCTCGGCCCTGCAGCTCCTCACCACCTACAGAAACCTCCCATCACTAATCTCAGGTGGGGAGAGTGCTAGGTCATTTCAGATCTTCCTGACGTTTTTCCCCCTTAGAGTTTTCTTTAAATTCTTCTTCCTTACCGTCATATAATCGACTTCTTCAGGATGCTCAAAAGCAATAAATTCTTCCAGATTCAACCCGGGTCCCGAATCCTGGTTAGCTTTTTCGAATCGCTTCTTGTCCTTTAAATGAAGCTTTGAAAATTAGAACATTTTGAACACGTTAAAAGGTCTCCTTATTACCATCACACTATTAAAGATACTTGGAGAAGTACTAACCACGTGGACGGTAAAGCACATTCTCACATATTATCCCGTCTTCCTTCAGATAGTCCCTTGGATGGTCGCGGCTCAGCACAGAGACCGCCCTGGAGTCAGACCCAGTCCGGAATCCCAGCAGGGCTGCTCACGAGCTGTGGTGCCCAGGGCAGGCTGCTTAACATCTCTGATGTCCTCATCTATCAAACTGGTATGGAGATCTGTACTACGCAGCTGGGGTAAGAAACTATCATGTTGGAACTGGCAGGTGACATGGTGGTTAAGGCACTGGACTCCTACGTGGCCAACTGTGGTTTGAGTCCTGGCTTACTTCCTCACTTTCCCTTTCTCTCTCTCTGTCTCTCTCCAGTCAAATTAAATAATAAGTGAAATGAAATAAACAATTCTTTTTTAAAAAAGATTTTATTTAAATTTATTTATTTATTTATTTTAATTTGACCAGAGAAGGACTGTGGGGCCCATAGAGAGAGGGGGGGAGCGGGAAAGCAAGCCACCAGGTCCAGGACTTGAACTGTGGTCAGCCATATGGAAGTCCAGTGCCCTTAGCCACCACCCCACCTGCTGGACCCTGAAATAAACAATTCTTAAAAAAAAAAAAAAAAAAAAAAACTCGGGCCAGCAGGTGGCGTGGTGGTTAAGATGCTGGAATTCCCACATGGCTGACCATGGTTCGAGTCCCGGACCTGGTGGCTTGTTTTCTCACTCCCTCTCTTTCTCTCTCTTGTCTTTGGCAAAATTCCATGTGAAAAATAATAACAATAATAAATAAGTAATTCTTTAAAAAAAACCTCTATCATGCAATTTAATAAAGTACTTAGTGTTATATGTTATGATTACTGATAGAAAAACAGAGATGAAATGACTAGATGAGTCAGAAATACAGCTAAAAATGCTGCATTGAACTTGGCTCCCCCCTGCTCTTTCTATAGGACTGTACTGTCTCCCTTTCATAATTAATTTCAATGCTTCTTTCAATATTTGATAAAGCAATACATTTAGATCACCTATTAAGCTTCTGTAGGGCTTTTAAAAATGGGTTCTAGTCTTCTAAATTGCTTCTAAAATATGTGAACATGCTTCAGAAAAGCAGTTATCTTACGTTGAGAATCTCATACTCTCACTATATATACCTAATATTTGTAAATCTATTCTTAGCAGGCTTTTTATAGTACTAATTACGTATGTTCAGATATAGACATAAAATGGGTCCCCTTTTGCACTAAATACAGATATTCCCATCTTCTTTTTCTTTCTACTTTTTAAAAATTCAAGTATGCTCAAATAGTAAATTGATTAAGTAGCTATTAAGGACAAAGCTGCTTTTGATGAATTTTTCAAAGATAATTCTGTAACCAAGAGCTTTAGAGGCCAATGATCTTATACAGCTAATACTACAAAATTTCTAATTTAAGATTTAATCTCCTTTTTTCACCTATGGAGTGTATGCACTCACCAGAGAGAGGCAGAGAGAGGAAAAGGGAAAAATCTCCCCTCCCCCAGGGAAGATGGTCACAACACAGTCCCTTCTCCATTCTCCTCCTGGAATGTTGGCGGTGTGCACATACATGCGCCTGGCGTGATTTTTCAAGCCACCAGGTCCGGGACTTGAACCACAGTTGGCCTTGTGGGAGTCCAGCACCTTAATCACTATGCCACCTACTGGCCCTTCCTTTTTGTTTTTTTTTTTTTTAATTGCAGAAACAGAGAGAGAAGGCGCTCTCTAGGCAGACCTGGCCGTGCCGCACTGCCTTTCCCCACCCTCCACCCTGTCAGGATCTTGGGCTCCCACGTACATCCTGGTTGTTGGTGGGGCTCGGATTTGAACCATGGTGGGACATGTAGGCTCTGGCTCCCTCTACACAGCACTTAACCACGGTGCTACGGGATCTCAGTATTTTGAGAACTTCTTTTTTCCTATAAACACATGTATGTTAAACTGCATATTTTTAAAAAATGCAGTATTTCAAATATTTTAGAAACTTATTTACTTCCTACTGGTAACAAATGCTTCTTTTTTTTTTTTTTAGCTTTCCAGAATAACAGAGGCTACATAGTAGTCATTTACCTAAACACCAGTTCTGTGACAGTTCTTGATTCTTTTTCTTTTTAGGTTTTTTGTCAAAGGGTGTGTATACTTGCCAGAGTGAGACAGAGAGTGAGAGAGAGAAAGTAAGAAATCGAACCCCTCAGGGAGGATGGCTGTATTGCAATCCCTACCCTTCTCAGGAATTTGGGCACACACGCACAAACGCCCAAAGTGGCTTTCTTTTTCTTTTTATTATTTTATTTATTCATTTATTTATTTTAATTTGACCAGAGAGAGAGAGACACAGAGAGATAGACAGAAAGTGAGAAAGCAAGCCACCAGGTCTGGGAATCAAACTGTTGTCAGCCATGTGGGCGTGTCCAGCGCCTTAACCACCACGCCACCTGCTGGTCCCCAAAGTGATTTTCAAGCACTAGGGTCCGGACTCGAACTGCAGTCAGTCATATGGGAATCTAGTGCCCTAACCACCACACCACTTGCTGATACCCCTACAATTAGTGATTTACAGTAGAGGCTCACCTCATTTCCCAAAGAATTTGTTTTTTAAAGCTCTAGACTCCACAACCAAGTTATACTCAGCCAATCGTTGACAGAAAATAAAATAAAATAAAATAAAATAAAATAAAATAAAATATATATGTATGTGTGTGTGTGTGTGTGTGTGTGCACGCACGCATGTGTGTGAATTTGCTTCAAATCAATGTCATGTGCTAGAGTCAAGAAATAACTATTTATATCCAGATTATCAATATTATAGCCTTTCTTGATAATTCATAAATTGAGTCTACTTGAATGATCTTGTCATATGTACTTTCTTTTGTACATAATACTATACCAGAACTCCAGATAAACACGTGCTAAGAACAATAAAAACTACCAACTTTTGTGTTAACATGCATGTAACTAGTGCCATATTGTTCCAAATAATAAATTAAAACTTCAGCATACATAAAGAATTTAGACTGTTTCTATATTATTTAAGTACTTAAACTTAACATTTTTAAAAGGTATAATACAACTTTATTATTCTGCCATGAAGATGCTAATATGACCACATCAGTAAAAGATGCCTAAGGTTTTTCAGCAAGTTGTTCTTTCTGAGGCTGAATTAATGGACAGCTCAGAATAATTCATTTGATTCCGGAAGAACACATGGAATGCCAAGTATGTTCCAGATACTTCTATAGATACCAAGAATATCGTGGTGAATAACACAGGGAGAAAGTAATGTTATAACTATGGCAGAGCTTATATTTTATGGAAAGTTTTCACCTATGGAGTGTATGCACTCACCAGAGAGAGGCAGAGAGAGGAAAAGGGAAAAATCTCCCCTCCCCCAGGGAAGATGGTCACAACACAGTCCCTTCTCCATTCTCCTCCTGGAATGTTGGCGGTGTGCACATACATGCGCCTGGCGTGATTTTTCAAGCCACCAGGTCCGGGACTTGAACCACAGTTGGCCTTGTGGGAGTCCAGCACCTTAATCACTATGCCACCTACTGGCCCTTCCTTTTTGTTTTTTTTTTTTTTAATTGCAGAAAAAAAGGGAGAAGGGGCTCTCGAAACAGAGAGAGAAGGCGCTCTCTAGGCAGACCTGGCCGTGCCGCACTGCCTTTCCCCACCCTCCACCCTGTCAGGATCTTGGGCTCCCACGTACATCCTGGTTGTTGGTGGGGCTCGGATTTGAACCATGGTGGGACATGTAGGCTCTGGCTCCCTCTACACAGCACTTAACCACGGTGCTACGGGATCTCAGTATTTTGAGAACTTCTTTTTTCCTATAAACACATGTATGTTAAACTGCATATTTTTAAAAAATGCAGTATTTCAAATATTTTAGAAACTTATTTACTTCCTACTGGTAACAAATGCTTCTTTTTTTTTTTTTTAGCTTTCCAGAATAACAGAGGCTACATAGTAGTCATTTACCTAAACACCAGTTCTGTGACAGTTCTTGATTCTTTTTCTTTTTAGGTTTTTTGTCAAAGGGTGTGTATACTTGCCAGAGTGAGACAGAGAGTGAGAGAGAGAAAGTAAGAAATCGAACCCCTCAGGGAGGATGGCTGTATTGCAATCCCTACCCTTCTCAGGAATTTGGGCACACACGCACAAACGCCCAAAGTGGCTTTCTTTTTCTTTTTATTATTTTATTTATTCATTTATTTATTTTAATTTGACCAGAGAGAGAGAGACACAGAGAGATAGACAGAAAGTGAGAAAGCAAGCCACCAGGTCTGGGAATCAAACTGTTGTCAGCCATGTGGGCGTGTCCAGCGCCTTAACCACCACGCCACCTGCTGGTCCCCAAAGTGATTTTCAAGCACTAGGGTCCGGACTCGAACTGCAGTCAGTCATATGGGAATCTAGTGCCCTAACCACCACACCACTTGCTGATACCCCTACAATTAGTGATTTACAGTAGAGGCTCACCTCATTTCCCAAAGAATTTGTTTTTTAAAGCTCTAGACTCCACAACCAAGTTATACTCAGCCAATCGTTGACAGAAAATAAAATAAAATAAAATAAAATAAAATAAAATAAAATATATATGTATGTGTGTGTGTGTGTGTGTGTGTGTACACACACATAAAATGTGTTCCAAATAGTTGCTTTTAATTTAATGTTTTATAAATGTAAAAAACTAGACCAAATACTTTTCATACTACCTTCAGGATTAACATGAGGAAAATACAGAAACAAGAATTTGAGGTTATTTTGTCAAGTCAATCAAGTTCTTTTTGAATGAACCACTGTTCAAAATACCAAGTACTTTGATTTCCTTATGAAAGAACCCTTCAATTTGGAAAAAAGTCCATGTTTTGGCAGAGACAGCTAAATTTTGCCAAATTTGCCTATGGAAAGAAAAGGACTCTTTCAACAGACTGAGATTAAAAAAAAAAGTAAGTTTTCTTCACTGCCACATTTCATGACTATTTGAAGGCCACAATTTCAAAGACGCTCATACTGAACTAAAGAAGCCAACCACAGACAGACTTTTTACAAAGTGGCAAATTTCTAGAAAATGACAAAAAAAAAAAGATGGTCAGTTTCATAAAACCTTGGTAGTCTATTTTTCTCTTGGATAAAAACCTTCCAGTCTAGTAGAGGGCAGAAAATGTTACATAGAAGAAGAAACTATCAAGATCACTGTTCTTTTTTTTTTTTTTTAATACTGTAACGGCAATTTGTGAGGAACCAAACTGCCATCTTTTGGTGGACTGATGACCTTACATGAGCAAGCGTGCAGAACAGGAGCCCGCGTCTACAACACGGTGCTCAGCCTCATGCAAGATTGTACCTCCACACGTCACTGTTGTTCACACGCACGCATCCACGTGCTCAGCTGGATCTAGCAGGGAGCCTGAGCTTTGCCCCGTAGGTTCCCAGACTTCAATTACCCTGGTGGAAAGTGCTGGCTGTAACTGCTCTCCAGAGGGTAAGGACGGGCCTTCTTGGGCATTTTGTAGTCTGGCAGGGCTGCTGACTGCAGGTTGTCTCTAGTCTATGAAACTTACTAAATAGTAGGTAAAATTCAGGTATCAGGTTGGCTTTTTTTTTTAAAAAAAAAGAATGATTTAATTTAATTAATTTATTTGACCAGAGAGGGACAGAACGAGAGAGAAAAAGAAAAAGTGAGAAAGCGAGCTAGCAGGTCCAGGACTTGAACTGCAGTAGGCTATATGGGAGTCGAGTGCCCCTAACCACCACATCACCTATCAGCCCCCCAGGTTGACTTTTTTAATAGAATAAAAAAATCTTATTTTATTTAGACACTATTACTCTTTTATTTATTTTTTTGGAGAGGTTTTTGCTATAGGGCGCATGTGCTCACCAGACAGACAGAGAGAGACAGAGAGATAGAAAGCAAGAAATCACTCCCCCAGGGGGGATGGCCACGCTGCAATCCCTTCTCCTCCATCTCCTCTCTGGATCCTGGGCACGCACGCACACGCACCCGGCACAAGTTTTAAGCCACGGGGTCCGGGACGCGAACCGTGGTCGACTACGTGGGAGTCCAGCGACATAGCCATTACGCTAACTGCTGGTCCCTACTCTTTTATTTTTTAAGAGAGATTTTTGCTATGGGGTACAAGTGCTCGCCAGAAGAAAGTGAGAGCAAGTGGTGTGGTGGTTAAGGTGCTGGAATTCCCACAGAGCCAACTGTGGATTCTAGTCCTGAATCTGGCAGTTTTTTTTTTTTTTTTTTTCTCTCTCTGTCTTTCTCTGGCAAAAAAAAGTGAAAAAAAATTCTTTAAAAAAACAAAAGTGAGATATTACCCCCCAGGGAAGATGGCCACACCACAGTTCCTTCTCTGTTTGCTAAGGATTTTGGGCACACATGCACACACACCTGGCCCGAGTTTCAAGCCTTTGGGTCTAGGACTTGAACTGTGGTTGGCCACGTCGAAGTCCAGAGCCTTCACCACTTCGCCACCTGCTGGCCCAAGCACGAATTACTTTTTATTTAATTTTACTTATTATTATTATTTTTAAATTTGTTATAGGGCAAGTGCACTTATCAGGGAGAAAGAGAGACAGAGTGAGAAAGTAAGCCACCAGGTCTGGGACTTGAACCACTGTCGGCCACGTGGCAGTCCAGCACCTTAACCACCATACCGCCTGCTGGCCCCAACATGAATTACTTTTTATAAAGTTCTGTAGTCTTAAATTTTTTTCTTTATTTATGATAGAGACAGAGACACCCTCTAGAGGGTCTGGTCATGCTGCAATGCTCTTCCTTGAGCTCACCGTATTCTGAGGACTGTGTGTGTGACATGTCTCAGGTGACTGGCTCGGGGTGAGCTGCTGACACCAGCTGGGATCTGGCTTCTCTTGAGCAGCCCATTACCAGGGAACCATAGAGACTGCTCCCTTTTAAGATTACTTTATTTTTTAAAATGTTTTATTTAACTGTATTTATTTATTTTAATTTGACCAGAGAGGGACAGAGTGAGAGAGAAGGAAAGTGAGAAAGCAAGCCGCCAGGTCTGGGACCTGAAACCACAGTCAGCCACGTGGGAGTCCAGCACCCTTAACCACTACGCCAGCTGCTGGCCCCTATTTTGTTATGTTTACTCGTATCATTTGATGGAGATGGATTCGTTCTTCATCCTTGGTTATTTCGAAGAATAATGCAAACTGTTTCTGAGTTCACCTTTAAAGCCCACATCCATTTTTAGGAGGTTATCAAGTTCTAAGAAAGTATGCTGGCATGGTGGTTAAGGTGATGGATCCCACATGGCCAACCGCAGTTGAGTCCTAGACCTGACAGTTTAAAACTCACACCAGGTGCATATGCATGCATGTCCAAAATCCCAAGAGGAAAATGGAGGAGAAGGGACTGTGGCATGGCTATCTCTCCTGGGGGGGTGATTTCTCACTCCCCCCTACCTTAATCTCTGTCTCTTTCTCTGGAAATCTAAAAAAAAAAATAAAAAAAAAAAAAGACTGTCTTCCTCAGCTACATTTAAGGGGAGTATGTGTATTGTGAGAAAACTGCATGGAGGGGGACCAGCAGGTGGCGTGGTGGTTAGGGTGCTGGACACTCCCACAAGGCCATGGTTTGAGTCCTGGACCTGGTGGCTTGCTTTCTCACTTCCCGTCTCTCTCTGGTCAAAATAAAAAATAAATGAATGAATGAATAAAATTAAATAGTTCTTTAAAAAAAAAAAAAAAAAAGAAAAGTAAAATTGCATGGATTTGACAGTTTTTCTGCACCAACATAAACATGCACCTTAACTCCATTTTTCTATGAATTTTTAAACTTCCTCTGTGTAGGTCAACAAAAATACAACAGAGGACTCACAGAGATAATGAGTCCTCAAAAATGACTTACTTCAAATGGTGTGCCTGATAGGAAAACTGTCTTATGGTTCCTCAAAGAATGAAAAACAAGAATTACCATAAGCTCCAGCAGTCCCTCTTCTGCATAGAGACGCGAAAGAATAAAAAGCAGATGTCGGAGATTTGTACACCATGGTCACAGCAACACTGTTCACAGGAGCCTTGAGGTTTAAGGCATCCAGTGTCCATCGACAGGTGAAAGGATAAACAAATTTGAAATGTATCAGTACAGGACCAGCAAATGGTGTAATGCTTACAGTGCTGGACTCCAGATAGTCGACTGCAGTTTGAGTCCCGGTCCCGGCAGCTTAAAGCTCACACTGGCGCATGTGCGTGCATGCATGCATGCCCAAAATCCTGAGAGGAGACTGCAGGAGAATGATTGCATCATGGCCATCACCCCTGGGAAGTGATTTCTCACTTTCTGTCTCTGTCTCTCTTTCTCCAGTGAGCACGAGTACCCTACAGCAAAAAACTCTCCGAAAAAAAAAAGATATATGAAAGATTATTGTATATTGTATGTAATCAATACATACAATAGATGATTGTTCAGCCTGAAAAAGGAAAAACTCTGACACATGCTTCAACATGGACAAACCCTGAGGACACTGCGCTAGGTGAGATAAGACCACCACGAATGCTGTCTGACTCCGCTTAGACGAGGCACCTACAGTTGTCAAGTTCAGAGGCAGAAAGTGGAACAGCGCTTGCCGGCGGCTGTGGGAGGAAGGAACGGAAAGGACTGTTTAATGGCTTAGAGTTCCCGTGTTACACGGTGCAAAGAGTTCTGGAGAGCGGTTGCACAGCCGTGTGAATGTACCCACCACTGAATGTACACTCACGATGGTTAAATGGTAGATGAATTGTAGCACAATTGAATGCTACGTTTATGTTTAAAAATGACAATGGGCCACTACAGGCTTCTTAGTAGACATGATAGAAAACTGTTCGATGATGGGGAAGACAGAATACTGAGGGCCAGTTCAGTGGAGCAGCCATAACGCGCGGCTCAAGTGAAGGCGGATAGGGAAGGCGGTGGGTTCAGTTCCTGTGTCAGCCGGTATAAGCCAGGTTCGCGCGCTTATGCCCTTGGATCGCTGGGAAGGCAGAAGACCCTGTTGAGGGTCTTCCCTCTGTTAAGTAAACTTTAAAATAAAATACAATACTGAGATATGGGGCCAGCAGGTGGTGTGGTGGTCAGAGCGCTGGATTCCCACATGGCTAACTGTGGTTCGAGTTCCGGACCTGGAGGTTTGCTTTCACACTTTCCCCTTCTCTCTCTGCCTCTTGTCAAATTGAAAAATACTAATAACAAATGGAATTAAATAAATAAATAAATAAATAAATAAATAAAATACTGAGATACAGATTCAGAATGCACAGAAAAGGTGACTCTGAGAATGAGAGCAGATAAATGAAGACGCTGAGAGAGGGAGACGCAGGGACAATTTAGGCAGTCAAGAGTAAGAGTCCTAAATCTGCCGGGCAAGGAGATCTTCCAAATGACCGCCGAAGTGGGACGAGGGACGGCCTAAGAGAACAAGCCCGCCAGGCTGTGGCCTCGGGCCCTGTGGTGTTCATTCATGGGGGAGGCCCGGTAAACCGACAGGAGCCAAGAACAGCCTGTCACAGTACTCACCTGTCTGAACGACTCCTCCTCGGCATCATCCAGAGCGGTGTTCTCGTCGAAGTCGATCACCCGGTCATACATCTGGATGTTGTATTCATCCCAAGTCACGCTGCCGTCGCTGTTTTTGTCATATTCGACAAACTGCTGTTTCGCTTCTTGCATGGCATAATGCTTAAAAGACATCTGAATCCACGAACTGAGCTCACCTATGAGAATTTGCCAGGACATGGTGAATGTGACGGTATTCCGACACTTACAGTGAGGACTCCTAAACCCTCCCTAAAACCCCCTGTGCTTGCAAATGCTAGAACTGGTCTAGTTGTACTGACAGAAACGGGTAGGAGGAGCTGGCCCTGTGGTGCCGTGGTTAAGCCCTGGATCCCACATGGCCAACCAGAGTTTGAATCCCGCCCCAGGCTGGAAAGACAGGCCGGTGAATGGGCCTTCGTGGCCAAATCTCGATGGAGTGGGAAAATGGAGGACTATGCTATGGCGATTCCCCACTGGGAGGGCTTTTCCTCTCTCTGAGACCACACAGGCCCTTCAGCCAAAAGAAAAAAAAAAGTAGATGAGAAAAAAAAAGGAAGTGGAGGGTCTAAGAATATTAAAATATATGACTTAAATAGAACTGTCATGAGCACAGAGAATTTGAATCTGTTTTGTTCACTGATAGACACCTAGAAATACCTAGAAAAGTGCCTAGCTCTATAAATGTTTATTGAAGTAATTACTCACTGGTCAAACTAGCACTTGACTTTTTTTTTTTTAAACGTTATTTAAAAAATGCAGATAGTATTTGCTAACTACCACAGATTCCCCAAGGAGCACAAATATTTTAATAACTACCTATTTGCTATGGGCCACAGATAGGCCAACAGTTGGTACAGAGGTTAAAGTGCTGGAGGTGAAGGCTGACGATGTAGTTCGAGTCCTAGACCCAGTGCATGGTGGGTGCAAGTGCATGCGTGCCCAAAATCCCAAAAGGAGACTGGAGGAGGAGGGACTGTGGCATGGCCAACCCCCCCAGGGTTTTTATTTTCACTTTCCCTCCCTCTCTCTCTCTGAAGAATGCATGACTTTCTAGCAAAACCTGAAAACAAATAAACAAACAAAACCATAGAGATGTGCTATACTACATTATAGGAAAATATTGTAGAGGGGGAAGAACACGAACATCTGTGAGGACACTATGTGTATGCTATTTGGTCATCGGAAAATCCTGAGTGTTTTTCTGTGCAAAAATGTGTCATGACTTTTAAGAATTTTAAAAAGTATTTTATTACACTTTATTTTTTATTTATTTATCTCAATTTGACCAGAGAAGGACAGAGAGAGAGAGAGAGAGAGAAGGTGGGGGGGAGTGAGAAAGCAAGCCGCCAGGTCCTGGACCCGAACCACGGTTGGCCATATGGGAGTCCAGCGCCCTTAACGACCATGCCACCTGTCGGCCCTGTGTCATGACTTTTTCAACAACCAATATGTGCCTTGAAGAGCAGTACTTCTGGCCTGGTGGTTAAGGTAGCTGGATCCTATATGGCCAATCATGTGGTTCTAGTCCTGGACCCAGCAGCCTGAAAAACACACCAGGGATGTGTGCAGGTGTGCTCAAAATATGCCGAAAGGAAGAAATGGAGGTAAACGGACTGTGGTGTGACCATTTTCCCTGAAGGAGGCTTTCCCTCTTTCTCTCTCTGGCCAGTGCATGTGCCCTCTGGCAAATTGTAGAATGACAAAAGAGTGGCTCTACTCTATTGGTTTGGAGAAGTCAGGTAAACAGAAAGCATGGACATTTATGCCTCCTGAAACTCTAAACAGGGGCCGAATAGTAACTATTACATCAGCTGTGTACCGAATACTTGCTGCACTTCAAGGCCCCTCTGCACAGCCCTTCCAAACGAGGCTATTATGATCATCACTAAATCACAGCTGAGAAAACGGAGGCTCAGAAGGGTCCAAGGCCTGACAGCTAGGAAACAGCAGACTACACGCTGTCATTGAGTAAAAGGAACAAAACCTTAGCAGTCCTGAGGGTGCCGATGCCGGTCGTTCATGGACAGCACATTTCAGAGTACCAGTCCGCAATCCTCTCCAGCCACTTCACTCTCAGAATATGAGCAGTATTTAAATGAGAGCTACAGGAAGTTCGCTATCAGTCATAGTAATAAGCTGAAATTTTTTGGAAAATCAACTTGCAATGTTGATAGACTTTATCACTTGAAGTACACAATGGGTTCAGACAGTTGCATAACAATTGACTTGGGACATTCTTTTCATAGTCTGTGCATTTCATTTCTGACTAGGGAACCTACCTAAGAGCAATCAGACTTTTTGTTTCCTAAAGAATTATATATCATTAGCATTTAAAAAAATAATTATTTATTGAATTTTATTTATCATTATTATTTGCTTTGTTCCGTTTTTTAATTTGACCAGAGAGACAGAGAGAAAGGGAAAGTGAGAAAGCAAGTTGCCAATCTGGGACTGGAACTGAAGTTGGACACATGTGAGTCTAGTGCCTTAACTACCACACCACCTGCTGGCCCCATTTTTGTTGTTGTTGTTTAAAGTTTTTGTCATAGCGTGTGTGTACTAGCTAGATAGAGGAAAAGTGAGAAATCACCCCCCCCCAGGGGGGATGGCAACATCACAATCCCTTCTTTAGTCTCCTCCTGGGATTTTTGGGCATAGAAACACACACACACCCAGCATGATTTTCAAGCTGCTGGGTCCAGGACTTGAACTGCAGTTAGCCATGTGGCAGCCCACTGCCTTAACCACTATGCCATCTGCTGACCTCATTTATTATTATTTTTAATTTGCTACAGGGCACATGTGCTTATAAGAAAGAGACACAGAGACAGGGAAAGTGAGAAAGCAAGCTGCCAGATCTGGGACTCGAACTGTGGTTGGCTATGTGGGAGTCCAGTGCCTTAACCACTATGCCACCTATCAGCCCCAGAGATTTTTTTTTTTTTAGAGATTTTTTTTTTTTAACTAAAGAATATTATAAACTGAATTATGGAGCCAGAAGGCACAGTAGAAGAATTTGATTGACTCTATGGGGGTAATCCCACTTGAGGAGGTTCCTAGTTCAAGTTTGGAGACCTCTCTAAATATGCTGGGCACACAGCTGACTACCATCTGGGGCTAGCTGAAGCGGGGGAGGTGGACTGCAGCATCAAGACCTTATCCAGGATGTTGTCTCTGTCTCTGTGATTCTCTTGGACATAAAAGAAAGAAACAAAAAAAAAAACTGAATTAAGGACAGGATACCTAGATTCTAGTCTTAGCTTTGCTAATAAAATTTCAAATTATTTGGGGGAAAAAAAGCATATTCTTCTGGCCTTCAGTTTCTCTCTACAAGGGAGGTGGCCAAGATGATGCTAAGGTGCCTATCAGCTCTAACATTTTGTTATAATGTTATAATAAACATAATTCACATGCAACAGGTCTTTTTCTACCTGCTCACACACAAAAAAAGCAAATTCTTAAAATCTGAATGAAGCATACATATATCAAAAAAGTAATAAATCTTTTAATGCCGTAAGAAAGTTTGGGAGCATATTTCTCCAAATGGATCATACTTGTTGACAACCGAAAGCAGTCATGTAAGGAAGAGGGTGTTTGAAGGTAGGGCTGCAGCCCCGTACACCGTCAGTGACATGCACCCACTGGAGAAGGCACTGCGTTTGACTTGGTTGGTCCCCATGTCTAAAGATGACCCAGGTATAAAACCTATTCTGCATGTCCTTTTCCCCTCTCACAGAACCTCCGACTTGCTGGGACACTAGCGATCTACATTCACTGGACAACCCCTGCTGAAAACGTTCCTGTCTCCCACAAAGGGGTCTCCATTGTTGGCCGTTGGGCAGTCCTTACTTTCGGTGAGAAAGCCATCAGAATCCGAATCAATTTTCTTTATGATCGACCGCAGCCTTTTTTGCTGTTCATCGTGATCCAGTTTAACAAATTCATCGACTTCTTCCTTTGAGGGAAAGCGATATACAGGAGGGTCAAGCATCACTGTGCTGGTGAAGGGCAGGGCCACGAGAAGCCGTTGCAGCAGAGGGGTTTCGGGGTGTCCCCCACCTGATCTGCAGGGCCCCTGCTCCCTGCACTCTCGGCGGCCAGCGTCCGAGGGTAGAGGGCTTTGGCTCTCGGGCCTACTTTCTCAGGCTTCACAGGCCCCGGGGTCCCCCAGAACGCTCGCGGCGCCCCGCCCGGGCCCCATTGTCAGGCGGCCCCGCCAGGCCTCGGCCGGCTGCCCCCCTTTGTCCCGGGACAAAGCCCGCGGCGGCGACGGCTGTGCGAGGCCCCGCCTCCCCGCCCCGGCCTGCACGCCTCACCTGGG